TGACAGAGTAAGACTTTGTCTCTAAAAAAATAACATAGGCTGAGCATGGTGGCACACACCTGTAATCCCAGCTACTTGGGAGGCCGAGGCAGGAGAATTGCCAGAACCCAGGAGGCAGAGGTTGCAGCGAGTTGAGATTGTACCACTGCACTCCAGTCTGGGTGGCAGAGTAAGACTCTGTCAGGGAAAAAAAAATAGAATGTAAGCCTCTAAGTCAAGCCATTCACCATGCTAAATCTGATGTAGTTACTCAATACTATAAAGAGAGTAAAGGCCGGGCGCCGTGGCTCTAGCCTGTAATCCCAGCACTTTGGGAGGCCGAGGCGGGCAGATCACGAGGTCAGGAGATCGAGACCATTCTGGCTAACACAGTGAAACACTATCTCTACTAAAAATACAAAAAAAAAAAAAAAAAAAAGCTGGGTGTAGTGGTGGGCGCCTGTAGTCCCAGCTACTCTGGAGGCTGAGGCAGGAGAATGGTGTGAACCCGGGAGGCAGAGCTTGCAGTGAGCTGAGATCGTGCCACTGCACTCCAGCCTGGGCGACAGAGCAAGATTTTGTAAAAAAAAAAAAAAAAAAGGTAATAGGAGAAGGCTTGTGGAATTGTTATCAATGAAATCATGGAGGAAAGGTTATCAGTGTACACACTGGGAATTCTCAGAGAACAGGCATAAATAAAATGGAAAAGAAATGTGTCATTGGGAGGGGGTTACAACCAGAAATACAATAGGAGAGAAAACAGAACCATTCTGAATTTTCATCTCACTCCTAAATATTATTGGAATTATCTCTGACTGTTAGATGTATTAATTTCATAACTTCCCTGATAACGGGCTGTCTGACTTCAGACAAGTCAGTGTCTCTGACTGTCAGTTGCCTCATCTGTAATTAAAAGAGATCAGGTCAAAATTTTTATAGTAGAGAAATGTAGAAATGTAAGATGGCTAAGAGATCATCTAGCTCATCCTATTGGATATAGGACTACTTTCTAAATTGGCTTCAAGGAAAACAAGGCTCAGGAATTTAGTACTCTCAGGAAAGTTCATTCAACTTTCAGATGGCTCTTATTCAGAAGTTTTTCCAAAAGTTGACCTAAGATTTTACTGGATAATTTCTACCTGCATTGTTAAAAACATATCCAAAATTGCTATGAAAATCTTCTCCTCCACATGCTACAATGGCAATAGTTCCACAATCACTTTTATCACAACATGAGTTACTTGTAAGGTATGATAATTAACATTGGCTTCTAGTCTTAATTCCACCACTGTGTTTGTGACGTTGGCAAAGCACTCACCACTATATCTGGGCCTTAATTTCTCCAACTTATAAAATGAAGGGCTTAGATTTTGTCAAATGTCTCTTCTAATACTGACAATTTCTTCCTGACTATATCTTTGTCCTTGACTTAGTTCTCGCTGTGTTCTCACTGACCTTCTAGAATGAGGTGTTGGAATTTCTTTAATAAAGAAAGAAATATCCTTTTCCTGTCTTTGTTGTTTCCCTTAAAACTTCTCATTGCTGTGGATATATGTGTTTAAATTAAAGTATAGAAACTGAAATCTTTGTGAGATAAAAAAATTTAATAACTTGGGACTTGCAGTCCCTTTCCTACAAAAAAAGAGATAGATTAGGATCTTAACAGTTAGAAAGAACCGTACAGGATATCTAGCCCAATCTCCCACTAACGGAGAAATCTGTAATAGAGAAGCCCTTATGTTTTGTCTTCCAGCCTCTAGGATTTCTAGTGAAAAGGTACTCAATGTTTTGTGGACTTACCCTGCTCTGTTGATGTACGGCACAGTGCCTGTCCTCGAATGTTGTTCCAGAATCTGCTTCCCTGCAACCACCCATTGATTCTGGTTCTATCATCTGTTAGCATGGCAGAATAGATATACCTCTTCATGCTTAATAGCCCCATAACCATTCAGATTCAACTACCATAGCTGAACCTCCTTCCCCACTTATCCCCCAAAGCTTCGCTCCTCCAAGCTAAAGCTCACTCTTCTTTATTTGTTGTTTTCCACACCCTTTCCTATCCAGTTTCCTGCATACTGGATGAGTTTTAGCTTGTCTATATTCTCTTTAAAATGTGATGCCAAAAATATAAATATATAAAATATGTCAATTAATTTGTTATTTTTCACATATATTGAACCCAATTCAGGAAGACCAGGGAGTCACTGCTTAAACTAAGTATGTTTATTGCACAATTCTCTTAGCACCAGAAAGCATTCCGCTTGCTCTGTGCCTTCACATCTCTCTCTAATTATCAAATACATCGATGAAAGCCAACCCTCTATCTTTTGAAGTGGTGTCATAGACTCCAGCTCAGCATTTCTTAGTGCTACCATCAGCTAAAACTGAGCTGTATGGTATGTTGTCCATTTCTTACGTTCTCACATCATGTGAGCAGAAATATTATCAGGAATCCCTCTCTGAGAATCTATGAAATGAAGTCCATCAGAAACAGAGCATTCGAACAAGTACAGAACAAATTATTTATGACACATGGGATTAGATCTAAAATGACTTCCCTACATTGGCTATTTTGTGATATTTTTGATTCTTAAAAATTAGACCTCTGAATGTCTTTCTTTAATATATCATAATAAACATAGTTTTGTCAGATCTTTACCACAAGTGAAACTGAGTTGAGGCAAAAGCCTGGGTTATTCAGAAAAAATACTTTTTCAGCCTATGGAAGCTTCGATCAGTATTGAAAGCCAAAACCAAAAAGTGCTGTCATATTACATTAAATCGAGACTAAATTGTGCTTATCCTCTACCACTATCACTAACTCATTATATGAAAGTAAAAATAAATAAAACTAGGAGAACTTTGCTACTGGCTTGTTTGCCATCAATTTCAGGGAATTTTTTGATGAGAAAACTGTGCCATAGTTGGTGTGGCTGGTGCCACAGTTCTCACCTCTTCCCTTGCTACCTAATCCGCCAAGAAACCACCACGGGAGGACAAGGGTAAGAAGGAATGAGTATCTTCCCAAGTTTAATGTTCATGAATTATAGACCTAAATAGTCCCTGGGCTTCAGGACTCATCCTGCCTCCAATCAGGCAGAGCTGTGCATATACTAACAGCTTTCCTATTTCTCTGCTTTTCCAAGCAGATTCCTATTGTCTGCTTTTCCAAGACAAAAAGGTCATGAAATACACCCAATCCACTCTTGTTAGACTCAGAACAAGCCCTTGACAAGTTGTTGTGAAAGCAGAAGACAGAAATGCCTGGTGCTTTTGCGTTTGGGTTCACCATCTAATTTACACACACATACACACACACACACACACTTTTGCCCAAATACAGTTTTTCTACTCACTTTAAAGATTCTTTCAAAATCCTATTTAGTAGTTGTTCTTCCTGGGATTAGAAGAATTCGATTTTTCCCTTGGCTCCATAATCTTGTGTAACAGTATCACTATATACAAGGGATACACACTTTCCTTTCCAGGTTACTAAGAACATTCTCAGTCACAAATCACTTTTTCTTCCACCAAGTCTTTTGTCTTACTGTAAAGCATTTGCCAAAAACTTCTGCCTTAAAAAAACAGTACTGTCATTATCTTAACAAGGGAGGGAGGAGAGAAATCTGAGCATAGATTTGCTTTTAATAGCCACAATCTTTAGGCTGTGTAATCTAAAGAAATGAGAGAGGTATTCTTATAAAGTGATAGAGACAAAATGCCAATCAATGCATTGTTACCAAGAAAAATGAATAAATAAACTGCATGAGAAAAGAAGTGAACAAGGAGTCAGAGACATTTTTCAATCCTTCCTTGGCTGTCAGCTAGTCCTGATTTCATGAGTAAATCCTTCAATCTTGCTAAGCCTCAATTTCCTCATCTATGAAAGGGGAAAATACCCATGTCATCTGAGACCCACATGATCATTGATTGATTACAGAGCACGTTGGAAAATCCAAAAGGCTATACAATGCTTATGTTTTAAAACCAATAATTTTGCCTCCTACATGATGCACCTGGATAAGCTGTCACGCTGACACTTATCTTTACCTGGGATAATGTTTCTCCAACAAGCCTATTGCAGAAAAATGAAAAGGCCTCCTGCTACATTCACATAAGTATAGAACTTAGACCTAAAATGATCTTTAGGATTCATCCCCATATTGGAGAAATAAGAAAACAAAAAGATTAACCCATGCTCACACCCACTATTGTTTATATAATTATTATTAATCATTAGAACCCGAGGGTCAGGATTCCACTTAGTCCTACTCATTCTTTTCCAGCCTTCCCGGACTCACTTACCTAAAGACACAACCAGAAGCGAAAGAATCAGAAGTGAGAGTGCCTCTGGCGCAGCTGCTATGTTTGATATGTGTACTGAGTGTGTAGGGTCATCACACAATTCGGTAGTATAATTTCAAACTCCAAATATCAGTACATCTCTGTCTCTTCAGCATTTCAGAGCCACAAAATACCAGAGCCACTTTTCCACGTAAGTGGAACTCAAGACCATTAATCAAACGATTAGAAACAGAAAAATTGGAGTGAGAGGGAGGGGATCTGTTAATGAAAGGTTATTCGCAAGTTCATTTCTACAGGGACTAGGAAACTGCCTAGGACCGAGGGGAGGGGGCATACGCGTGGGAGAACGCGGTCGCAAACCATTCCTGGAAACGCGTGATCATTCCCAGTTTTGCCTGGCGAGCCTTTCATTATCTAAGAGACTACAAACCCGGTAAAAGAAAAAGAGACCTCCCAGGGGAAAAGGAGAGGGGTAAAGCGCAAAGTCAATCAGACCCCCGCCCCATCTAAGTCCCCAAACAGGTGCACGGCCGGAACGCCTTTATCCTTAACCCTTTGGCCTTCATCTTGATTTCCTAAAATGCACTGAGAATGAGTATTTCCACACACAACCCGAGGAACACTCAGTTTTAAAATATAAGTAGCCCGTGAAACGTGGAAGCGTTGCGGGACAGGAGCGCAACAAGTTCGGGAAGCAGAAATTGCTCTAAGGGTTTTCTGTGCCCAAGTTTCCCGCCGCGCGCTGGCGCCGCGCAGTACGCGGGACACAGGGCGTAAGGGGCGTCTGCGCCTGGGGGCCACAAGTTGAGGAAGGGTGCCAGGATGCAGAACCGCGAGCTCTAGCGGAGAACAGGGACGAGAGAGGATGGAAGCGCCGCCCAGAGAAGGGGGGAGTCGCCTTCGTATTTGAGTCAGAGATGAGACTCGGGGCATGGGGGATGGGAGCGAGCGGGAGGTTAGTGACGAGCAGTGCATGAGTCTGTCCTGACACTGGACGTTTTAAAGATCAGATTGCGGTTCTATCTGGATCCCCGCGGAGCGGAGGCCCCAGAGACCTGGTCCCTTTGCAGACAAACGGACTGCCCAAGAAAGGGCAAGGAGTTGGCGTGGTGAGGAAAGAACAGAGCTAGGGGCAAGTTGCTGAGAGGCGAGGGAGAAAGGGGTCTCTGATCGCAGAAAACAGAGAGCCGAAAGTCGAATTTCCAGTCTAGGACGCGGTACTGGGCTGGTCCCCGACCCCAAGGACGACGAACGCAGGAAAATGCGCGCCCGGGCGCACACTCTCCAGTGGCTGGGACCGGGAGGGCGCGAGGGGAAGCGGGAGGCCGGGCCGCGGGCCTCAGTGGCTCCGCACCGGCCTGGAGGACAGGTGGGTTTTGTTTGTCTTCCAGGAGCGAATCTCCAAGGCCCGCCACGAGACTGGAGTCTGAGTCTTCCCGTCCGGGAGGGAACGGCGCTCGGCCCCGCAGTCTCCTCCCCTGCCTACCACCCTCCCCAGCCTGGCGACTCAGAGCACGTGCGGCCCTGAGCCCAGCTCCCCCTCGTCTCCAATGTCCACCTCGTCCTCTGGCTCGGTCAGCACGAAGGGGCCGGCGGGCAGGCTCAGCCGAGCCTCGGCGGCTGCGGCCTCTGAACCGCGGGGGCTGCCCTCGGGGCTTTCTGGACCGTCTGGTGCTTTGGGTTCGTCTTGGCTTTTCCGCAGTTGCTTTTTATGCTTCATCCGCCGGTTCTGGAACCATGTTTTCACCTGATTTCGGAGAGATAAAAATAAAATCATGTCATTCCTCCAAATCTGAGCGATTGCTGGGGTTTAGGAAAATGGGTGGCAGTCCGTTGATGAAGTATCCAAGAGCGGTGATAGCCTCAACTGCTCATAAGTTATCGCCTTGAGCCGAATGAGAATCGAACAGTCTGAGGCTTTCAGGAGTAACTGTCCCAAAATAATGATGAGGATTAACATGGGTGGTTAGCAGTTATGCATATTGTTATTAATTAGAACTACTAACAGTAAGTGCTCCGTGGGCAAATCTTTTTACGCTCAGCTGATGTTCCTCTGATTGAGACATCTAACCACCTGATCCGCAAGACTCCTGGACAGGAAGATGAGAATTGAACCTCCTGGTTCTCATCCGAGAGAAAATCAGACCCGGGCCTGGCAGAGCTAATGATTTCACAGCAAGAGGCGTTCTGGGTAGAGACTATGAGAAATGGGGAAGAGAGGACGGGGTTTGAGGTTGCAGGTGAATAGCGCTTGGAGGAAGATAAAAACCATTCTTCCACTCAGGACAGGGGAACAGGGAGGGGACTTAAACCACAGTGTGTGTGTTGGGGTTGGAGCGGAGGTGCATGTGAACATTGGCCGCTGTGAGAGAGACTGAAGAAAGAAGGGGGAAGAAATCTCGGTGTGTGGACTTCTCTCAGTACAAGAACTCGCCTAAACGCTTACCATTTACCTCTGACCCGGGTTCCTAGCCTGGTTGGAGAGACTCCTCTCTCTGACGAATATTCATGCGAATAAGAGTTCTTAACCCGGAGGTGGTCATCAGAATTACCTGAGGAGTGTTTCCTTCCTGTCCAGAGCCCCGCTCGAGACTTTTTTTTCTTTTTCTTTCTTTTCTTTTTTTTTTTTTTTTTAGATGGAGTCTGGCTCTGTCGCCCAGGCTGGAGTACAGTGGGGCAATCTCGGCTCACTGCAACCTCCCCCTCCCGGGTTCAAGCGATTCTTCTGCCTCAGCCTCCCCAGTAGCTGGGATTACAGGCGCGCGCCACCACGCCCGACTAATTTTTGTATTTTTAGTAGAGATGGGGTTTCACCATGTTGGCCAGGCTGGTCTCGAACTCCTGACCTCGTGATCCGCCCGTCTCGGCCTTCCAAAGTGCTGGGATTACAGGCGTGAGCCACCGCGCCCGGCCGGGTATGGGTAATTTTACGAAAGCTCTTAGGAAAGGCCTAGAATAAGCGTCAGCGGGGTCCATTCCTACTCGAACTCCACAAGGTCCCGAAGGTATTAAGAGCTGAAGGGAGACAAGAACGAAGCAGAGATCAGGGCCTCCCTCTCCTCCCGCCCACCTGCGTCTCGGACAGGCTGAGGGCCGTGGCCAGTTCCACTCGCTCTGGCGTGGACAGGTAGCGCTGGATCTCGAACCTCTTCTCCAAGCCCGAGAGCTGCGAGTCAGAGAAAACCGTGCGGGCTTTGCGGCGGCGGCAGTGCTTCCCCGGCAGCTCCGCGTGCTGGGGGTGCTGGAACAGCGCTGGGACAGGCATCCCTGCAGAAAGAAGAGCAACCAAGTGGGCAGAGCCTGGGTCGCCGCAGAGCAACATCCGCACCGCTCCCCTCCCTTCCGCTAGCCCCCAGTGCCTCCCTCCGCCCCTCGCCTCCACCAGTCTGCTAGCCCCAAAGCCCCTCAAGCCTTTCTCTCAGGAATCCAGGGCAGAGAAACAGGGAGAAAAAAAAAAAAAGCCTCAGAAATAGCGCTTGGAGATCTTTATCTGGAGAGTCATCTAGAAATACAAACAACAAACAGTAAGTAAAACAGAAAAGAAAATCGGAAAATAGATCCGGAGGCCGTTTAAAAATGTCTTCTTGGAGAGACTTCCGTAGGGTAGGCCAGAGCCGTCTTCAGTTGCGCCTGGCGAAGTTTTTTTGCAAATGTCAAATGGCCCAGGAGCAGTCCTGTCCCCAGCCCCCACCGTATCCTCCTAGACCCCTGATGACAGTCAGTGCTGTTCTGGGGCTAGCAGATGCATGGATATAATCTTGCCTCTAAACCTCACTGAAAAACACCTTTCTGTTTCCCAAGCCACTCCTATCCCCCTGCAGCCAAAGGGAGCCGAGCAAAACTGCCTTATCCGGAGAAGCCCCCGAGCGGGAACAGAGGGATATTTCCCGCCTCTCACGTCTCCTCGCCCGTTTCTGGGTCGCGCTGGGGACCCGGCTATCTAATCTGGTCCTCATTCTTTTTCTCATTCTTTCCCTCTCCAAGGCCAGCGAAGCAGAAGGATTTGAGGCGCTTTTCCATGGCCCGGTCCGGGAAAACTTGTCTTTCCTGACCCTCGCGAGATTGACTCTGTCCGAGACGCGCCAAGCGAATAGAAGCTACCACAAGCAACATCGGCCAATCCCAGGGAAAATAAACAAACATAACAACAAGTAGTGCGGGTACCGCGGGCTTTGGCCACTGCTGTATGGGTGAACCACTGGCGCCACTGAGAATAGACTGTCACCAGCGGGTGGCGAAGCCAATGCAGAGATGTGGACCTGGATGCAGCCTTTATTTTATCACTGCCCCTCCAACTGACTGCCCCGGAGTCTGGATTTTTTTTTACCACCTTACAAACACTTTTAGCTTTGTTCTGGATTCCAGAGCCCACAAACTACCTCCTGTCTTGCCCCCAGCCCCTGCACCGACTATGGTTGTTGCCACCTCCGAACTATGAGTCTGGACTCAAGGAATTATTCTACTCTGGCTGGATTGAAAACGCCAGAGAAAAAACCATGGATGTGGCCTTTTAGAGGGAGACAGAAAAAAAAATCTGGGTATTTTCCCACATCCTCCTGTCCCAAACAGACTTTGCTAGTCTCTGCTTTTTGTCAGACCAGAGAAATCAAAATACTTTAGCACCTGGCTAAATGATGGCAGCTGGGGCAGAGGAGGTAGCCCAGATTGTGAGTTAAATGTTAGATGTTGAGGTTGAGGAGGGTTAAAGAGTTGCATCTCCCCCAACCCCCATTTTTTCTCACGCGTTCTCTCTTATTCAGGCTAGCCCAAACCTTTCGTTCTCAGAGAAGCCCAAACCTGCATTCACTTCTATGCCCCCTGCAGTATCTGCAAATGCTCAGTGCCTGGGGAAAAAGAGAGCTGCCCTGGACAGAGTGTTTTGAGTTTCTGTGCAGGAAAAGTTCTGTCCACAGGGTGGGATGCTCAAGGGTCTCCCTCTGAGTGGGCAGAGGCGGAGAATCAGGATTGAGAGATGGACCAAAGTGGCCAGGAAGATCACAAGCAGGGAGACTGAGCACTGCCCAACAAGAGTATTGTCAAACCCTATACGCTGCCTCTTGACCAGGCACCTATCCTCTGCTATGAAGAGTGCGGGGGGGATCACGATTTATCCCCGTGAGTTGGCATGCCTCCAAGGAGCTCCGCATGGCCTCAGCCATATCCCCAGCTCCACTGTCACTTAGGGAAGGAGGCCACCAAGCCAGGCCGAGCCAGTCTGGCCTTTCCTTGGCTCCATCGCAGGCTTAGAGTCTGTGCTAGAAGCCCTGCTCTCTCACTGCCCATACCTTGAGGCTCCTGTTACTTACCCGAGGTGGTGAGGAAATAAGGATGGTGGTGGTCTCCCTTATGCAGAGGGTGATGGGCGTGAGGAGCCAAGAGGGTGGGTGTGGGCATGAGGGGGTAGCCATAGTCTAGCAGAGGCACCCGAGAGGCCAGAGAGCTGGCGAAATGGTCTGGGGCCACCTCCCTCAGCGGCTTGGGCTTGTGCAGCAGGATGTCCTCGATGAAGAAGGATGTGGGCCTCTGAGAAGACGCCGGGTGTAGAGGAGAGGTGAAGTTGAGATTCATCTTGAGCAGAGCACCTGCCACAGGACAAGGGCCGGGACGAAGTGGAGGACACAGGCAGAGTCTTCAAGCCTGCTCGAAAGCCAGCAACCACCCTCCGAGGCTCGAATCTCCTCTGCTCTCTCCCGGGCCTGGGCTACCCCCGGCGCTGGAGAGGCAAGAAGACAAGCTCCTGGGTAGGTTGGGTCTCTGTGTTGGAGAATTGGCAGCTTGGAGAGGGGAGCGGGGAGAGCCAATGACGAGGCTGCCAGAGGCAGAGGGGAGGGTGCTGGAGGCTCGGGGCGGGGCGGGGAGCTGTCCGCGGTGCTGAACACCACCGGCCAAGCCTGGAAACAACAGAGTCCGCAGGGTTCTTGTTCCTACCTGGTTTCTTGACCTCAATTTCTGCCCCGTCACTGCAGGGGCTGCTTTGTTTCCAGTCGTTTTTAAAAGAAAGCTAAAAGGAAAAAGTCTCTGTTGTCCAGCAAACTCCTCTTTACAGAGGAGAAGGCACTAAAAGGGCACCAAAGCAATAGGGATAAAGCACTTATTCAGGCATTTAGGCCTGGGTTTTAAGAGTTTCCATAATTTTGGTGGCAAAAAAAGAAGGGAGGAAGTGAGGAGAAAGGGCACCTGATACTTCAAATTGCTAGATTCTACTTAAGTCTATGGCTGAGGGATGACTGGATTATTAAGGTAAAGAAAGAAAATGATGATGGTCATCATAACAGTCTTTACTTCAGTTATAGGCAGTGGGCAGGAGGAGGGTTATGTCTACATTAGTCAAGTTATATGGTCTGTGTAAATATGTCCAGAGTCATCTCTTAGTGCCATCTTCCATGTCCCCTCAAATATTTACTTTCTCCTCATTTCACTCACACAGTTTGCTATTTCTGCTGTTACTTTTTCAACCCTAGCCCCCGAAATAATTGTACTACGTTTTTGTTTCCCACTCCTCTTTCCCAGCCTCTTTCCTTTCATTTCTGTCCCTACCAATCTTTCATTTTTTTTCTGTTTGTCTTTTCTAATCTGTCACATTTATTTCCCTGGAGTCAATTTGCTAAAATTAGGGTGATCATCTACAACACAGCAGGGGTAATTTCAGCTCACATCTCCGAAAATTGCTCTAATTATTGATGTTAAACTCAGGGAAATTAAAAGAAGCCACTTCTCTCCCATCTCCCCATTTTTAAGCTCTAATTTGTTGAAATCTAGTCGTCATCACAATTCCAATCACTACTGCTAATAGTAAAAGTGTTTTAATAGAGACTGAGTCCTCACAACCCATGCTATTAGATAATTAGAGGAGGTGTTAGAAAGCCAAGTGCTAATCCTGGGGCGCATGGGTAGGATTTCCATCTGATCTAGCAGGTAGAACAAATTAATTACCAGAATCAATTAGGCCCCAAACTACAGTGCACTAGGAAGTGGCAGCATTCTATTCCATAAGGATGAACTGGTAAATGGTAAGTAGATGAAGAGCTTGAGAGGAAGGAGGAAGGGATGTGAGGGAGACTTTAAAATAAGATCTTGGCAAGTAGACATCTAAATGAAATCAGAATGCTTTGACCTGAAGTCCAAAATGCGATTTTAAAAAAACTCTAATAGTAAGAAGAGAAGAGGCCCAGTGTGGTGGCTCACGTCTGTAATCCTAGCACTTTTGGAGGCTGAGGGGGGAGGATTGCTTGAGCCCAGAAGTTCAAAACCACCCTGGGAAATATAGTGAGGTCCCAGCTCAGAAAAAAGAAAGGAGGAAAGGAAGAAAAAGAAGGAAGGAAGGAAGGAAGGAAGGAAGGAAGGAAGGAAGGAAGAAAGAAAGAAAGAAAGAAAGAAAGAAAGAAAGAAAGAAAGAAAGAAAGAAAAAGAGAGAGAGGAAGGAAGGAAGGGAAGGATGGAAGGAAAGAAAGAAAGAAAGAAAGAAAGAAAGAAAGAAAGAAAGAAAGAAAGAAAGAAAGAAAGAGAGAGAAAGAAAGAAACTGAAGACCTGAAAGCAGGTGGCCATGGAGAGGAAGACAATAGACTTTCCAGAAGTCCTTTCCTAGCGCTAAGCCCTGGCCCATCGTCTCAGCAGGGCTGGAGGCAGACGGAGGAGACTGGTGAGGAGGGGCCGGGGGTGACCGTCCACATTTTACAGACTTCCACATTCACCCCCGCTTCCATTGTGAGCTTACAGCATGGGCAGAGTAGAAATCAAGCCATTCTGTCTCCCCACCCCATAGGCCGAGTGGCTATCGAGGGCTGGACGGGTGTACAACCAGAGTGTGGCCCGTGCCTGAGGGCACCCTACACTCCAGCCCCACACAGAGCACAGATCGCACCCAGCCTTGAGGGCAGAATTTCGGCTTCATTCTGGGGAGGGGACCAACTTCTGTCGCAGAAGAAGAAGTGATTGTTGAATGTCCCTTTGAGAGCTGGGGCAGTAAAAACGTCTTCAAGTGACAGTTACCTTTGAGCCAAGGCATTGCAACCCCCCGTCAGAACTTACACACCTCTCACAGTGTTTGCGGGATCGGAAAGGGAGTGGGGGGCGATGTAGACCGCCTCCTCCGTCCTTATCTTTCCCTTGTTTCGTAAGCCCTGGACTCAGTGTCCTGCTTTCCCCCAAAGCTAAGGCAATCTCCGCAGGCCCTGCTCTCAGGCGGAGAAGCCGGGGGCGATGAGGGGCGGGACGGCTCCTGGCGCCCTCTTTTCCAGCCCCGCTCGCGCGCTGCCTGCCCGAAGCCCGCGCTGCAGCCAGAGAGAGACTCGGGGCCCAGCCGCCCCGCCTCTGCCGGGGCCCCAGGAGGAACCTAAGAAAGGAGAGATGGAGGGAGGAAATGGCATCTCTTCAGGAAGGGGCAGGACCTCCAGGACCGAAGGCGTTTTCTTTCTCTTTCCCTTTCAGCGACCCTGGGAAACAAAGCTCCGCGGCCGAGAGAACACCACGGGCTGCCGAGACCCGAGCAGGGCCCTGGGGCGCTGAGGGCGGGGAAAACAGGGCATCCGGAGTGCAGGGGATTCCTCAGGGCCGCCCCCTTCTCCCGGGGTGCCCAGAGGAACGGCGGCGGGGACTCGCTGCTGGCAGACTGCGGGTCCTGGTGCCAGCAGCGCGCATGGGCGGGCTGTGCGGACGCGTCTGGTCCTCCAAAGGTTTTAGATCCCGTCCCGGCCCCGCAGTCCCTTAAAGCTGTGTCCCAAAGCCTAGGGGAGATAGCGAGGCTGGAGAAGCCGGGAAGTTTCTCTGCCGTGTGGGGCTCCTGAGCAGAAACGCGCGGGGGATTGCCAGGGCTGCAGAAACTTTGGCTCGAGGCGGCGGCTGGCCCGCCTTACTTCCGTGGTGGGGTTAGGGAGGCCCCTTTGAGATTCAATCTTGGTATTGAATCGGGTATCTTCCTGTGGCAGGCAACGCATACCAAAGGCAGCGGCATCACCTTCCTGCCTGCTAGAGCCCTAACCCCTACCCCACCCACCGGCCGCAGACGCCCAGGGAAGGCGTACATTTTTAGACAGCTTGTAGAGGTTGGCTGTGGCAGGGGACGGGGACAGGGAAACTATTTTCTCTTTAAAAGCAGAGATGTTACATCGCCTGGTTTATCTCTAAAGTCTATACCAGTGCTGTCCAATAAAAATACAATGCAAGCCACGCAGGTAATTTTAAATTTTCTATTAGTTACATTTTTTAAAAAACAGAAAGTCACATTTAAAAAGTAGGAGAAAACAGGTGAAATATTAATGTGTTTCACTGAACCCCAACATATCAAAAATATTATTTAACATGTAATCAATATAAATATTATTAATGAGATTTTTGCATTCCTTTTTCATACTAAACCTTCTAAATCCAGTGTGTATTTTACACTTTCCACAAATCTCAGATTAGTCATATTTCAGGTGCTCAATAGCCGCATAGGGCTAGTGGCTACTGTGTTGCACAGCACCTTTAGTCAATTGCCATAGTCCCTATTACCCTCTCAAATATCCATAGATACACACAGAAAATGGAAATCAGTTGCCGAAACCAGCCTGGCACATTCTCCAGGCTTGCCCTCCATCCATTCATTATATTCGATTATTCTAAGTATTCATTGAGCACCTACTATGTGCCAGGCTCCTTGCCACATACCTTCCCCAGTCTTAGATTAAGTAAATGCACCTAAATTACACTTACTTTTGATTCTTACTTGACTAGAATCTGTCACCCAGGGCCAGCAGGCTGTGTCTCTCTGCAAAGCTGACACATAGAGCCCAGATCCTACACAGTGCCCAGAGTAAAGAAATAAAGATCAAATGAAGCCACCTCCCCAAAAGTACTCTGTTTGTGGTTTCAGCTGAAGAATTATTAAAGAAAGAAAAAAACATGCCTTTCAGAGAGCTAATAATTAAACAGTCCCTCTCTCTTTCATGTCAGCCTCAGCTAAAATGGTCATCTGACCTGGGACTTAGTTTCCCGAAAAGATAACTCTATTGATGATCAAAGGAAGAGACTGGTTCCATTAGCCAAGTTGCCTATACCGTGGCCTTCAAAATAAAGGAAGAAATGTATTTTAGAAGTATCTGAGTAACACACTTTACTCATAATATTGCTTGTTGTCTGTTGCAACTTACCTTCTATCTGAGTACTTTATTTTAAGCACTACCAAAGTGGATGACATGTCTACAAAAATAAAGGGAGTTGCTGGCTGCTTCTGACAAATGCATCTTCAAAAATAATGTGTTTGCAGTGGAAATTAGGGTGTGAACCCACATGAGAACAACATGCTTAAGGATGTGGTATTCAAATCACAGTGTATTCGTAATACAAGGAGGACTAAATCCATCCAGTTTGCTCCTTCAGGTTGGGTCAGTCTATAGGGTCAAAAACTCATTTCATTTCTCTTGAAGTTCTCTATTCTGCCTTTGATATCTCAATTCAAAGCATATTTCATGAAGTGATAAAGAGAAAAGAAGACCTTTGTAGCATGAGAAAACTTATACCTTTTTTTAATCCTGCAAAAGATATATGGTGGAATAAGAATGCTCTTTCATCAGTCTTTTGCTAGTATTCCACCAGTTTCTCCATTGTATC